GCTAACCGAGATATTGATATACATGTCAACACGTTTCTAACCCAGTCCTGGTTGAATCCAATTAGCTCAAGTGTTGACTTGATAAACTTCCACGAAAGTCTATCATAGGCTTTCTCAAGATCGATCTTCAGTACCATCCAACCGATTGCACCCCTTTTAATTTTCAACGAGTTGAACATGTGACACCCCAAAAATCTACCCCTTAAACGAAATTAATTATTTAATTAATTCTAAGCTTGCTTGGCAAAATCCCTTGTTAAATTCTTAATTAAATAGTCGGAGGACCTAAATTGACCAAACTCCTTAGTCAATTGAATTAGTCAAAGAGAAAGACCATGTGCTTTATGCTTTGCACCTAACTTTTGATGCCTTCCTAACCTTTTGAAAATAAGGGAGATTATTATAGTCTTTTCAACCCTTACTTGGTATCCAAGCCTTACCCTAACAACACTACCCTTGTATTTCCCACATTAGGCAAGGAACACATAACTCTCTACCTTTTCTCTAAAATCCTAGCTTCTTCTCCAAGCCAAACCAAAATGTGACACCCCAAAAATCCACACTCCAATTCATGAATTAATTGAGTAATTAATTCTATTTCTTTGAGGAATTGATTCCTAAAATCCTGATTTTTAATACTCAAGGACTAGTATTTGACTAGTCAATCTTTAAGTTGTGTTGTACCTTGTGCTTTAAGAGGAGTTCCCTTGTTCCTTACACTTTCTAAGAGTTAGTAAGGGTATCCTTGTCTTTTCACCAAGAGCTAGTATTGTAACTTAAACCTAGAAGACTTCTTCATTTCATCCCTTGCAATTCCTAGAAAATATCTCTACCTTCTCTCTAGAAAAGAAGAGTAGATTGTTCTTCAAGCCAAGTGAGACCTTTGTCAAGATTCCAAGTTTTGCTTCCAAGATTCAATCTTTCATCTATTTGGGCATCTAGAAGCGTAAGATCTAAGCTTGTCTAGTCTTTTGGGTTCCATCTTAGTTGTCTTTTTCTTAAAGGTGGGATCTTTATGATCTTTTGGTTTGATCTTGAAGTGGGTTTGGCTAGTGAGCTTAGTGGAGAGCTTGTTGTGGTGTTAGAGAAGTCTTTTGGTCTTCAAGAGGTAACCCATGCTCTACAAAACCTATTTTGCTTACCTATATGTGATTTCTTGGATTCTACTTGTGTTTTGCTATGAAATGTGAGAGTTTATGCATTTATCTTGTGATATTGCATATCTAGAGCTTGTGTTTAGGATTCCTTTGTGCCATTGCTTGGCATTTTCCTCGGTTCAAGTCATTTTGTTGCATTTGGTGAGATTTGGCATGTTTTGGACTTGTTTTTGTGTTTGGAGAAGAAAATCCCCGAAGGGATTTGTTGTGGAACAGGTATGTTCCCGCGGGCGGAACGGCGGGCGGGGCACCACCCGCCGGCCTACCTGCGGGTACACAGCCTCGTGGGATATTGTTCATGCGGGCGGGACCACGGGTGGGGCACTACCCGTGGGTTCACCCGCGGGTACATGGTTGTGGTGATGTTGGGATTTGTTACCCGTGATTTGGTTGTCTTGGTGTTTGATCTTTTGGCTTCCCGATGTTCTTTTGTGGAACTATTTGAGTGTCTTCTTGATGTTTCGTAGGTCTAGAACTATATGGTAGGTATCCATGTAGGGTCTTTGGTGTCTTGATTCGTGCTACGTGTTCAACATTGTGTTTCGTTGGACCAAGAGGTGTCTTGTTTGTTCCTCGGAACTATCTTGAGTTTCCCCGTTGTTAAGCATGCTAGTTCGTTGTCTTAATACTAGCGTGTGTGTGGTTTGTACCTTCCGTTTGGTTGATGATAACTTGTGTTATGCATCGTTGTTGTTGTGGGCTGTGACCCGTTCCTTGATTGAGTGTGTTTCATACCTTCCTTGCAATCCGTTGATTGATTCGTGTGAGTGGTGGTGCGTGTGTGGCTCTACCTGGATTGCACGATTAGTGGTATGGGACACTAGTCACCAAGGTATTGCAGCGGTCCTCGTGGTGGCCGTGACGTGATTATGGAGTTGTGGCCTGAGTGATGGGTCCACGTGATTGGGGGATAACATTGTGTTATCCAGGCATGTGTTGCCGTGATTGGTGGTGGATCGTTGGTGGTTATAGGTGGGGGACGACGGTCCCGGCGGAACAAGGTTGGACTTGGCTGTACAGGGGATCTTGGAGGTAATGGTTGGCTTGAAGGTACAAGGTTGGGGGTAGCCATAATGTTGGAACAGGGCATAAGGAAGGCATACCAAACTCGTGATGGGTGATGTTGCGAGGGCTTTTAAAGCCGGTGTTGTGTGATCTTCTCTCGTGACGTGTGTAGTCACGGAGACTTGTGGTGTTTTGGCATGTGTTGCCGTTGGGTGAGTCTTTATCCTTGTGTGTGGTTAACCTTTGTGGTTGGGATGTGTTCCCGGTGTTATCCTTGTGAGTGGTGAGTCTTGTGTTGTCTTTTGATCTTGGCTTTTGACTCATATATATGTATTCCGTTTCGAAAATGGTTTTTATATCTTATATCTACCTATTTATGATACTTAACGGTATTGGTGGGTTACCAGCATTATTCGCTGACCGGGCGTCGCCCCGATGTTTATCTTTGTATCTTTCAGGTGATGAGTAGTCGAGCGCGATGTCTAGAGCCTGGTAGCTTAGCACCTGTATCTTTAGACTGTGTTTTTGTGGCCTGTGCGCCAATGGTTTTAGATTGTTTTAAATTGATGTTTTTGGGATAGTTGTATACACTTGAAGATTGTCGCCTTAGCGTTACCTAGTGTGCTATACGTGGCATAACACCCCTTTTTGGATTTCTTTTATCCAGTTTCCGTTTATCTTCCGTTGTGCTAGTTTTGTTGTTAATCTGCATGTGTTAAGACTTGTTTTTAGGTCTTGTTTTGGGGGTGTTACACAAAACCTCCCCTCAACCTTGCAAGAAATCCTTTAAGATTCCAACTTTCATCCACCAATACCCTAGGAGGGGTAAGACTTGAGCTTAGATAGTGTTTTTAGTTGGGTTCTCCTTATCTTTATCTAAGTCTTGGTTGTTTGTGTGGTTTTTGGTTTGTGTTGGGAAGACATTGTACAGGAAGAGCTCCAAGAGGAGGTCTAGGGGTTGAAGAAGGTGTATTTAGGTTACAAGAGGTAACCCATGCTCTACAAAACCTATTTTATACTTGCTATGATGATTCTTGATGCTCTATTGATATTCTTGATGTTCATGAGTGATTTGATGCATAATCTTGTGTTTATGCATGTTTAGAGCTTGTATCTAGGGTTTATAAATGCTATTTTTTGGGCTTTTCATGTGTTCAAGTCCCTTTCTTGTTGAATGTGAGATTTTGGGTGTTTTGGACTTGAACTTGGGTTTATTGATGTTTTTCCCCGAAGGGAATTTTGGTGGGTACAGGTGGTATCCGCGGGCGGAACAGCGGGTAGAGGTCCACCCACCGTTCCACCCGTGGGTGGAAGAGTTGGGACCGGCAGGGGTTGCCGCGGGTGGAGGCCCACCCGTGGTTCCACCCGCTGGTACCGTGAAAGGGGGTTGGCGGGTGGTTGTCCACCCACCGTTCTGCCCACTGGTACGTGATGCTTTAGCCTCCGTTTTGTTGAATTGTTGTGCAACTGTGTGTCTCCTTTGATGTTTCGTACATCTAGAATGGTGTCCTAAGTAACCTTGATAGGATTGATGTGTCTTAAATCGTGCTTAAGGTCCAACCTTGTGGTTCGTTGGACTAATGTGAATTCGTTGAGGTTCGTTTTGCGCCGTATTGATTACTCTATCAATGTGCATGCTAGTTTGATGTTGTTGACACTAGTATGTGTTTGTTCATTGATCCTTAATGAAGAATGGCAACTTGTGTTGGCCAATCATGGTAATCTTTGGATTGGAGTCTATCGTTATTGTATATTGTCTTGATTGTTCACTTCATGTCTTTCATTAAAGTCTTTCCATTGAATCTTTTGTTGTAATCTTGTGCTTATGATGTGCACGTTGTTGATACTTGATTGGGCTGTTGATGAGCCTCAATCCTCTATGACAATGACTATGTGTGACTATGAGATTGGTGGTATTGATACTGAGCTTTGCTCAAATGATTGGTGTTTTATTGCATTGCGTGTGCTTATGATTACTGCACTGCGTGTTCTATGAGATCGGTGGTAAATGATTGGTGGCAGTTTGGCGAGGTGCTAAGGCTCCAAGAGGGACAAGGCCGGGTTGGTGTACAGGGTGGCACTCGAAGGTACAGGTTGGAACTGAATTAAGGATAGAGCGGTGATATAAGGTTGGAACAGTCATTGATTGTGATTCTTGACTCTTGTTGCTATGAGCATGTATTGATGTTATCTTTCATGTTATGATGTTACTCTGATTGATATCGATGATCATATGTTGTTGTTAATCCCATTGTTCCTATCGATGTGTTTGATCTGTTGAATCGTCGTGTGATGTTTGATCCTTTGATTGAGAGTACTCCATGATGAGTCTTATGATGTTTTTACTCCTAGTTTTGAAAGACTATATATTATGTATTCCAAGTCTCAAATGGTTTTCCTATATCTATATTATATTGTACTCCACAAGTAGTGGTGAGTTACTTAGCATTATTCGCTAACGGGTGCTACCCCTTATGTTTTACAGGTGCTGAGTAGTTTCTTCGAGCGCGCTAGAAGACGGATTAGTTTAGCGTAGCTCCCTTGTGGTTCCTTTACTAGTTGTTGAGGCATGTGTTCCTGTAGAATTGAACTTATGAGTTCAATGTTATGGTTTTGAATGTTTAACTTTTGACTTTTAGCCTGTGCATCTAACCTTGTAGTTAGGTGTGGCGTGACATCTCCCGGTTTACCAGTTTAGCTTCCGCAATCTTTATATCTTAATGTTAGTGTTATCTCTAAGCTTTAATTGCCTTATTTATTGTTTAAAATCGGGGGTGTTATAGAGCACCTCCTAGTATGCTAGGATATTATCTGAACTCTGCCTACCCGGTATAAAACTCATTTGATGACAGCAATCAAGCTCCGAACAACAGGCTTTAATCTTTTAGTCATGACTATTGTTAGAATTTTGTAGACTATATTGCACAGACCAATTGGTCTCAATTGCTTAACTGAGTCCGGAGAAGAGGCTTTGGGTATCAGGACTAGGATGGTGTTATTGCAGCCCTGTTGCATAACACCAGTGCTAAAAAAGTCAGCTACAAACTTGACAATGTCTTTGCCTACTATACTCCACGCTTTCTAAAAGAACCCCGCGTGAAAGACATCCGGCCCAGGGGCTTTGCTCGGGGACATATCGAAGAGTACCTCCTTTATCTCTTCTGGAGAAACAGGCGAGTTAATATACATCCAAGTTGACTGGTAGAGGGGCGGAAAGTTTCCTGGGAATGTGCCTTGAATAGGATCATTATCCTATGTGTATAAGCCCTCAAAGCACCTGCATACATGATGTAGAATTAGATCAACATCTATGATCCAATTACCTTCATCATCCTTTAAACTACTTATTCTGGAACTTCCCTTTTTGACTGCCGTAGCAGTATGATAGTATCTTGTATTCCTATCTCCCGAGGCTATCCAAACTTCCCGTGATCTTTGGAACCACAACAACTCCTCTTGGTAGAGGATATCCTCTAGCTCCTTACGTAACTTCTGATCCAATCTAAGAAGATTTTGGTTGGTATGTATAGCTAAGCTTCTTTGAACTCCCTCTATACGGGCTAGTACATGCTTCTTCTGAAAGAAAATATTACCAAAAGCTGAATTGTTCTAATCTGTTAGCTTCTTTGCGATCATACCCTAACTGGTTTCCAGGTTCCCTTTAGATTCCCAACTATGTTAGATGAAATTTAAAAATTCTGGGTGAGTTGCCCATATGCCGCATTATACTTAAAGTACCTTTCTGCCACATCTGCTTTATGAGGATCCATTCTGACTAATAATGGATTGTGATCCGATGTAACCCTTGGCAAGTGAACAACATCTGCATTTGGGAACTGAATCCTCCAATCCATGTTACACAATGCCCTATCCAGCCTTGCCCCTTTAAAAGTAGAATGGTTCTGACCCCTCACCCATGTATACTTTGATCTGGAATAGCCAAAATCCAACAGACCTTCCTTATGGATCCAATCGACGAACCCTGCACATCTAGCTGTAGAAAAACTGGTAGTGTTAGATGTTTCATTGCTACAAATAATGGAATTAATCTCCCACCGAGAGCCAACTCCCGAGGGATCTCATTTCACAACAAGAGAGTTCACAAAAGAGTTCCCTCCTAAGAGACGCGAGAGGACTCCCATAAACAAGAGAAAATGTCCACAGTTGAGTATTGTTTCCTCCTACCCTTATGTTAACGAATTGGGGATGGGTGGTGAGGATGTCAACCGAGATAGTATCCCTCCAAAGCACCCAAATCCCCGTGAATCCAAAAGCCTCTACCCTAAGCCATTCCTCAATACCAAGCCGGGAGCATATGCTATCAGCCTGAACCCCTGAAACTTTTGGTTCCAGTAAACACAAAATAACGGGCTTATAAACAGACAAGAACTGTTTCAAGGTGCGGTAAAACTTTCTTGATGCCGCACCTTGGCAATTCCAAGCGATTACATTCATATTAAATCAATAAAAGAAAGGGAGGCTCAAATGAGCTCATGAGGATCACCATCAAAGCCAAACTGGCTTTGAACGCCCTCCACATCATCCATGGCACAATCAAAATAGTCAACCCCATCTTCTAGAGGAGTCCCAGGGCCTCGATCTCTAGGATCAATGGGTGAGCCAATAAGACTTCCTTTACCATGATGCTGAACAGTAGTTCTGGTGATTGTCTTCCCTCCATTATAGCCCCTGTCGCCTCTGCTTCCCTGTAGATGTTGCGATCTTAGCTGCTATAGTCTGTTCTAATTAGGCGATAGCAGGTTAGCATCTAGTCTTTCTGTAGTGACCTTGGGTGCTAATCTAGAGGTGACAATAGGCCTAGGCCTACTGAGTTTCTCTACATTCTGCACTCCAACCTGGTCAACTGTCGTTTCTCCCATGATATCCTCATCCAGTCCATCCAATGGTGCATAACGTGAGTTGAATAGTTGATTCTTGTAAAACTTCATAGCATCCCTCGTCTTAGCTTTGGGTGTTGACTGACCTTGAAGCTGGCCACCTCGATTGACATTTTTCTTTGGTTGTCTCATTTCCTTGCAGGTAACCAACATCCACGAGCCATAATCTTCCACTTAAGAAACCTTATTCTCCTGTGGCTATTAATTGTGGACCAAGAAGTTGGTCTTCTTGAGCCGGGATGGTAGAAATGTCAACACCCACCTCCTCGCCAGTAGCCTTCTGTTCCTTCCTTCCCAAACCACATTGCTCTCTCTTTTGACCATAAAGACCACACTTGGAACATACCAAGTGGAGACCTCCATATTCAATCGGGTACTTTTCTTATGCTATGGTGAACTTCGATCTTAGGGGTTTTGTGATGTCTATTTGTACACAAATTCGGGCAAATTTTCCCCTTTTCGATAAAGAAGTTGTTTGATCAACCTTTACTGGTTCCCCAACATTCTTGCCTATTTTCCAAAGGAACTCTTCATCAAAGTATTTCACTGGGAGAGTAGGAAACCTTACCCAAGCCAAGATTTTCTATGTTCTATTCGATGCCAGATTGAAATTCGGAACCCATTGCTGGACGATTATGTAGTGATCAAAGATTGTCCACGGTCCCTCGAACCTTGCAAAGTCGTAGTCTCGTTGAGATTCAAATCTGGCCACATAGTAATCATACTCCAGATCGATCAGTTCCATATTTGCCTCCGGCCTCCACAAAGAGTGCAACCGCTGAAGGAGGTAATTGTACCCCACCGTTCTTCCCACAACTCGAATGATGAGGGACCGCCTCCATGGAGCTCTTAGTCGTCTTTTTTCCTCCTTTGTGACTGGAATACGCGGGCATAAATCATCCTCCTGCATGTAGTCATCTTCATCATCGGACACTTCTTCTTCATCGTAATTCCACACAGCTGCCTTTGCACACGTTTGTCCCTTCAAGATCTGCTTGTACTCCAGACGACCGCCCAGACTACCTTCGGACGCCTGGAAAACTGGTTCAGCAGGCTTAGATGACGTCTGGATCGTATCTTGACCCATTGCTCCTACACTTTGATCCAGAAGAGCTTCAGAACGTTTTGTCTTCTTGGATGTTCGTTCAAGTGGATCTTGAACTTCCGGTTCCATCTGGCTGGTATCTGGTGCTATAGGTGGCGAGAGCATCTTTGTGGCATACAATTATTTAATATCCATTGAGAATAAATCCGTTTCCAATAAAATTTTAAAAATGGAAAATATAACTTTGAAGATTTTATTTATCATTGTTTAGTATTTTCATAAATTTGGTAAATGTGATCGTTCTCAAACAACTCAGTTATAGGAATGAATTGATATCCTAATTCATTTGTATGGAAGATATATTTTTATATCTAGATATATAACAAATTTTCCATTAAAAAAAGCATAATATCACCGATTATATTTACTCATTATTGAAACCTCTTTGTAAATGACATCGGTAGTGGCAATACAATCTTGTCCATCCTCGTGTAGAACTAACACCTTCGGTCCATCAGGACGGGTTACTCGGGTGGAAATATATAATGGTAGAATATCACTAAATTAGTGATCCTTTTATATTTTCAGTCAATTAGTAATATCATATTCATTTTCAGCCAATTATTCTTTTTTATTTTCAGTCAATTAGAGTATCAAATGCAGTGATATTTTTACCTAATTTTCGTTTCATTTATAATTGATGATGTAGATATTATTATTGAAATATTTATGTTCCATTTTTAATTTACCTTTACTATTGTTTAAAATATGCATTTACTATTGATGATGTAGAATATTATTATTGAAATGTTTTCGTCCAATTTTTAATTTCCGTTCCATTTTTAATTAAAATGCAATGATCTGACTATTTCTTTTTTCTTTTTTAGTCAATTATGGATGATTTTTTATTTTTAGTCAATTATTAATATTCATTTCCTTTTATATTTTTAGTGAATTAGTAATATTAGATTCATTTTCAGTCAATTGTTTTAATTTAAAGACAATTAGTCAATTCGAATATAGATGCAGTGATATTTTTACCTAATTTCCGTTCCATTTTTATTTGATGATGTAGAATATTATTATTGAAATATTTTCTTTTCATTTTTAATTTTCGTTCCATTTTTAATTTACCGTTACTATTTTTAAAACATACATTTACTATTGATGATGTAGAATATTATTATTGAAATTGTTGGTTTTCACAGCCTCGATGGCTGCCCTGCAGGCCAACAATACTGAATATTTGTTATTTTTTGCATGTGATGAAAACAAAGATCAAGATCTCAATGAGAGAGAAAATAACGTAAGCTTATTTTTCTAGAGTTTTTGCCCTCCAAAAATGTCGATCCCTTACATGATGACCCCAGGGGTATATTTATACATAGATGTGGGGTTTATACATGGTAAGTAGGGCTGTCGTTTCAACCGAGTCAAAGAGGTAGGGCTCACGTAAGGGCTGATGCAACCGTTGATACGCGTCTCTGGGTATGCACTCGGTCAGGAATGGTCCCGACTGCGCGGGGGCGCCTTCCTGGGTGCTTTCCCCTAGTCAATGGCACCCTATTCGCAAAGCCTGGTCGCCCGACTGGGTCCCGGAAAGGCATGCGGTCGGGGATGCACCTCCCGTGTGGCCTGGTCGCCCAACCGAACCCTGTGGGGGTGTTCAGCCACGGACACGCCGACCACCGTTACTGGTCGCCCTATAGCATCACTTCTGAGAGTCCGCCCGGGGACGCGCCGGCTGGCGGGCTGGCTGCTAAGAGGTGAGTCACTACCACTTTGGGGCGTCCTGTACCGTGTCCGGGAGGTCTCCGGGGATCTTCCTCCCATCAAGTGACGCATCGCCTGTAGATCCGGCTGCCTAGTCTGGCTTCCCGTCCAGGCGGCTGATTTGGGGTATCTATCACTAGTCCCTCACTTTTTAAGGTTTTAGCTGAACGTTAACCTGAAAAAGTAAAGAAAGAGAAAAGAACATAAGTTCCCCAAGCACCCAGGCCGCCTGGCTTCTTGGTTCGCCTTGATTCGTAAGCAACCCAAGCTGGTTCCCAGCTGATTCCGTTGTCCCCGACTGGTCTCGCTGTTCCTGACTGGTTCTGCAGAGCGGTAGTAGTGATAGGCTTAATCATGAATCTTACCCCTAATTCCGCCGGTTACGTTTTCAAAACTTGTCTCATCGTAACCGTCATCTTAATTGTAACGTTAGCGAACCCCCATCCGTCCGATTTGAGACACGCGTCACGATCTCATCGCCCATCCAACCTTATAAATACTCTCCTTCCTCCTTACCTTTTTCCCTTCATGCTCCCTAGAATTTTCTTCTAGGGCTCAACCCTCGGCGGCCGACATTCTTCGTCCTCGCCCTTTCGTTCTCCGGCCGTCGTCTTCTTTCAGGTGAGCCTTTTGTTTCATTCTCTCCCAATACTTCTTTCCGTCTCTTTACCATGTCGTCCTCCTCTTCTTCTTCTTCTTCTTCGTCATCATGCTCGTCCTCCCCTGACGAATACGCTTGTCAGGGCCAGACGCCAACCCTCCGACTACTACTTCCGCTCCGGCGGGAGCCGAGGGACAGTCCTTGGTGGCTGTGGTCGATCCTCCCATCGGCCAAGGCATATTCAAGGACTTGGGTTGGCCGGCAGGCCAGCGATCTTCTCTTCGGGAGGCGGATGTTTTGCACGCCCGTCGGTTTTTAGGCACGGCGACGGTGACTCGTCGCCCGAGCGATCAGTTAATAACGGATCCCCCCTGCGGCGGGTATGTGAGTATCCACTATCAGTCCGTCCGATGCGGCTTCCGCGTACCTCTCTCGCCTTTTCTTGTCCTCTTTCTCCAGTATTACGGGATAGTGCCGGTCAGCTGACGCCCAATTCTTACTGCCTGCTGACGGCCTTCCTCACTTACTGCCATCGCCTTGGGGTGGAGGCTACCCTGCCTTTACTGACGACCTTCCTCACCCCGGTTAGCCAAGTCTCCCCGGGCTTTGTGCAGATTCACGCCCAGGACGACCACAAGTTCCTGGACAAGTTGATCTCTTCCCACAAGGGCTGGAAGGAAGAGTTCTTCTTCGTCCGCCTGGCCCACCTCTTCTTCGTCCGCCTGGCCCACCATCTTCCGGCCTTCAATTTTCCTCTTTTGTGGTAGTCGTCTTACTTTCGCCTTGACGGGCGGCCACCTTGCCCTGACAACCTGGTTAACCTGGTCCAACGGATCACCGGGGGCGAGATGGTCCCTGCCCGGCGCTGGTCACGGCTGGCGGCCATGATGAAGGCCAGTCTTTTGCCACACGGCGCTCATCGGACAGGTTTGTCCCCTCCGACTCGTAATGCACAGTATGTTTACTCGATGAGGACACTCGACCTAAATTTCCTATTCCATTCATGCAGGAAATAACGACACGGATCAGTCATCTGAGGAAGAGGAGGAAGGAGAAGACGAGGTCCAGATTATCAATCCCGTGTTCGTCGAAGCACCTCAGGAGGCCATGGCTGATCGTCGCTCCATCCTACTAGCCT